CCCTTGTGCACAAGTGCGCTCGGGTATAAAAATAAAATCCCTTACTACTGGTAAGTGGCTCATGTCTGTAGTACTTGTCTAATCCATGTCTTACTAAAGTAAGTAGTTCGGATTACCACAGTAAGTAGTATTAGACAAGGATTAGAGATATAAGCCACTTAACAGTTGGTTGAAGTGGCGAGTTNCTGATCATTTATGTATACATTTGTCTATATCTATCTCGATTCGTTTTGCCTGTTACAAACAACCGTTATGTGAACAAAGTTATAATACCCTTGTGCACAAGTGCGCTCGGGTATAAAAATAAAATCCCTTACTACTGGTAAGTGGCTCATGTCTGTAGTACTTGTCTAATCCATGTCTTACTAAAGTAAGTAGTTCGGATTACCACAGTAAGTAGTATTAGACAAGGATTAGAGATATAAGCCACTTAACAGTTGGTTGAAGTGGCGAGTTTAACAACTCCAATTAGCACTTATGCATGCCGTTTTTAAAACCACAGCCACTTAACAGTAGTAAGTTCTTATTTTTTACCTCGCTTTTATTAGCTCGGGATGTAACTATGTAATATTGATGCACCTAAAAGTTGCAGCGATTTCCATTCTCAAGTTACATGCCTGATGACAGTACGAATTTGAATTGCTTTAAACTTCCATTTCTAAAGTAACCTGGTGACAGTACGAATGGAAGTTTTAATAGCGAGGTTTTAGTTTTTTAAACTATAATTTTATTTTTGAATTTTGAATAGTGTCGTTATTACAGAGGGCCATCGATATACATTGGCGGTCAAAATGGATGAATGGTGTTTCGTTTTTAATATTTACAACGTTTTTCAAGCGAAATTTTTTTTGTAAATTTTTTAATCAAATTATGGTTCATTTCCACCGTCACGGGTGGGACATTTGAACAGAAAAAATTGTTCTTTCTTGTTTAAATTTAAGTATAAAGTACTGATGAGTTCTACATTTTGATAAAGTTAACACCTAATTGACTATTATATCATCACGAATAAAGGCGCGAGCTCAAAAGTTGACGGCGAAAAAAGACGCATAAAAGAACTTTAGCGTCAAAAATTCTTAACATACTTCGCCGAAGTTTTTCATAAGCATCTTTTTTCGCAAAATTTTTTTACGCGCCTTTGTTCGCCGTCAAAACACTATCGCGCATTTATTCGTGTGTAGTGACGATATGTGTTATTACAAAATACGATAAAAATGCCAGATTACTTTTATATGAAAAAAATCTGAGTTATTTCTTCTGTCACGGATACAAAAAAAGAACCTAAATATTAAAAATCAACGCGATCTCATAGCGTCTTGAAATTTTAGCATTATGAGCAAAAAGTTAAAAATTTTTGGGAGTAACTGTTAAAATTTGTTGAAATTTATAATTTTTGTACGAACTTTGAAATGTGGATTTATGTGGTTTTGGTTATGTAATGTGCTAGACTTTTATAAAAAAAAAGCAGGGGTGGTTTTATCCCTATTTCATACATCTTCGATAAACGTCTATAGTTATATGTGCGCGATATCACGCCCCTTTTCCAAATTTCTATAATAATGTTACTTCTTTTCAAGGGATTGGTCTTGGTTTCAATTTTGAGTAAGTTAGCGTCCTTAAATTTGGAAATATCGAAGTTTCAGGAATATCTGAAATTTGCCGTTATATGAAAAGTGGGAGTAATTTTAGCCCGATTTCAATAATTTGTATCGTTTTGCTTTTATTTGATAAGCGAAATAATCGTACAAAGCTTGGTACAAATTGATCGAACGGTTACCGAGATATGCATACCTGGTCATAAGTGGGCAGTACCACGCCCATTTTCTAAAATTTTATCATAACCGTATTTTTGTTAAAGAATTATTATTATTGCAAACATCAATTTTGAATAAATTAGCTTCTGTATTTACTGATTTATCGATGATTTCGTATTTCTCTAAATTACCATTATATGGGATGTGGACGTGGTTATTGTCCGAATTTAAAAATTTTCAGCCGTTTGATATGTTGTACTAAGGCTAACAACTGTGCCAAGTTTGGGAGAAATTGGTGTAGCGATTACCAAGGTATACACATGTAATCATAATTCTCTCTTCATTCTGATCATTTATGTATACAATTGTCTATACCAATCTGTATTCGTTTTGGCTGCTACAAACAACCGCCATGTGAACAAAGTTATAAAACCTTTGTGCACTCGGGTATAAGAACGAAACACCATTCCTCCGCTTTGACCACCTCCGTATATGTACATACATACATACATATAAATTATGTTGGATTTTGCAAATGGAAATTTTTTGGTAATACATTTTTGGTTAAAAGGACTCACCCTGCTAATTGTAGTGCTGGTGGCTCTTGCTCTAACAGAAAACGTACCCGATTTGGTGTTGATATCAGTATGTCATACTTCTTATTGCTATGACCCGCAGCAGAATTATTATTTGGTTGTTTAGTCTGAAAGTGAATTTTCAAAGCTGTATGTTGTGCTAGTTGCACACATTCCCTATAAATTTGTGCCGCCAATTCACGTGTAGGCGCCAAAACAACAGCACGAAAGCCAACTTTGCTTGGCTTGCGCAAATCATTGATTAAGGGCGCCAAAAAGGCGATGGTTTTGCCGGAACCAGTAGGCGCAGAAGCCATCACATTGCGACCCTGTAACAGAAGGGGCATAGCCTGCATCTGAATGGGGGTTGGAGACCTATATGAAGCAGAAGCAAGATTTTGTAAAAGACGATCAGACATATTATATTCCTTCAGCAATTCTTCAAACGAGGTCATAGGTGGGGGTATGTTTTTTCCACGCACTTTTATTAAATTTTCCTTGCGAAGCAGTGCAATCTGTAAATTATAATTGCAATCAATAAACAAAAAATTTAAAAATTTTGCTAACCATCTCTTCTTTGAGGTTTGCTTCTTTTTCCTCAGCCGTTATTGCCTTTTTGGGTTTTTTGGTTTTTTCCTTGAATATGTCGTTTCCATCAATGTAGTTGAAGGTATGCTCTTCCTCTTCAGAATCAAAGCTTTCGTCTTCCGAATCCTGATTTAAATTCGACACTTTCATAGACCCATCATTTATGGGGTGCATAGTCCTCGACTCTGTCAAATCCGTGGCTGTCTTTATTTTCTGCAAATTTTCCACGTCTATAAAAAAAATGATTATATTCTTTAATAACAGAGCTAGGCTCACACTACATATTGTATTTTCCGCTAGTCTTTTCCGCATATGTATTTCCTTGCACTTTGCTCAAGGCCTTCACGAGCTAACGCGCGTCAAACCCGTAGAGTTACCCAGTTAGCTTAATTTCACGTTGGAACGTCTTTACTTAACATTCATCCAGTCACTCTTCCACTCGAACAGTTGGGCCGTGTATACGTCGCATTGCATCGACTTTGGTGAAACAATTGGAGCGCATGATGCAATAATACAAGGTGGTATCAGTTGTGACAGCTCTATTTGATAATGCCTTAGCTCAGTAGAATAAGAAGAAAAACGGGAGGAAGTTAATCCCCGTTTGGGGAAAAAACATAAAATTTCATATTTTTTTGTAAACAAAATTTACTTTTGTGGCTGCATTTCTTTATTCATTCTGAACGTTTGGAATAAATTCCTTTGTTTACTTATTCTTTAGAACATTCCTGATGATATGTGAACGTATATTTCAAACGCATTCTGTTTATTCCGGCTGTGAAATTGGGTTATCTGGAATGTATAAAGAAACGCAGCAAAGCCGAAGCCAAATTTTCTTTAGTATCGAGTTTCGATACGAGTATTTGTTTTTCGATACCTAATCAGTTTGGTTCAAAAGTATCGATGTCAAAATTACTTGGCAACGATCGAAAAGTATCGAGTATATACTTTTATTTACTGGAATCCTTTCATCCCTATTCGTGGATTTAATTGATAAATTTAACTAAATAGGTAAAAAAATTGTTGGCGCGCATATTCCGGCAAATATATTTATCAAAGGAGTGAAACGAAATATTAAAGATATGGATTCACATGATATATTCCTTCAGTTAACTAGGGGTGCGAGGTTTACGCATTCCAAGCCAAGAGGCGAAATAAGAGTAAGAAACATTTATTGTATTAGATATTAGGGGGGT